CTGACTGAGGTTCTGTTTAAAGCTTACAGTCTTCATATGACACGCTCTGGAGAGCAAGTGTCATTTTGAAATTAACTTGCTTTTGATATTGTTTTAAATCATAATGTGAAGAAAATTAAGTACGCGCAAGCGTAACTCAGATCTTCTCGAGAGGGGCGCAGGTAGCAGTGGCTAGTGAGAGCCACTTGCAGCCAGTACTCGTGGCTGCGTGAAGGGCTGAGCCAGGGCTGAGCGAGCTCCGGCTGGTCCCATCACCCTGAGCCGGGCTCCCAGTTTCACGTGTGCTTGGAAATGGCCTTGCTTTGCAGAGTGGGAAGAGTCCGGGCTTATCACGGGGATCGCAGCCTGAGATGCGTGTGGTGGATGGATAAAAGGGAAGGTGGACTGCAGCCGGCGTCGGTGGTTGCTGTCAGTGCTCGCCCAAAGCAAGCTCGGGGTCTCCCACACCAGGCATCAGCACACAGTGTAACCCTGTTTTTGGAGGGATGCAAGTCGCCTGCCTCAATCTTGAAATGCCAAGCAAATCCATCGCCAGTGAAACAGAAAATTAAGTCACCTGCTTCAAAGAATGGGAAAGGAAAGCATTGCAGATTTTGTTAATTGGCTTTTTTCTTCTTTTTTTTCCTTCCACACTGAGGTGAGAACTAGAGAGGAAAAATTTTAAGAGTGCAGAGATCGCAGAATATTGGCTACATTGTTGGTGTGATGGGACAATATATTTTGGAGTGTTTATGCAGTGCTAGACAGAGAAAAGAAGTGGGACTCTGGGAAAGAGATACTCTGCTCAGTCTGGCATTATGGCGGTGCTGGAAATTAGAAATCAGGTAATAGGATTTTTCTGTCTGGATCAGCCTCTGGCTGTCTTCAATATGTTCAGGAAATCACTTTGCATCTCTGCTTCCATTTCCTTGGCTGTCAAATGGACATAATGATAACTACCTCCTCTGCTCATGCTTCATTAGAGCAATAAAACATTTCGGAGGAAGGAGTCATAGATGTGTGATTTATTAATCCAGCAAGGTCAGACAGAACTGTCTGTAAACAGCTAAAGAAACTGCAGAAGGAGGGAAAGGTCTCCTGGAGCTGAGTGGATGCTGGTGCTCGGCACGCTGCCTGTGCGCAGGGTTGCCAGAGCAGATCTTTCCAGCCCTGTCTGAAGAGGGGGGCAGCTAAAAACAAAGTATTTATGTTTCTCACCTGACATGTATCATCTCACTGCGGTGAGTCCTTTGAGCGTTCAATGCAGTAGTCTGTTGGTTTTTTTTCAGAAAGAGGTTTTGCTTGTTCAGTTCTTCTGCGTGGATGTTTTATTAAGATGCTCTGCATGGCTTTTTCTGTACGTACGACTAGTTGTGACATGATTTTATGCTTGAACACAATAAAATAAAATGAGTCAAGGAGTTAAGATACTGAGATAAACAGATGAGCAATGTTTATAAACCATAAGAGTCTCCTAAATTTGATAACCGTCAGTTCTAGCCAATATACCCCATGGTGCTAAAGAAAGAAGAAATCAATACTGCAGAAGCTTTTACAGAAAATTTATGAGCACACTTTGTTCAGGAGCAGTCCATGAAGATTGAAGCATAGCTAGCACTATGTACTTACTTAGAAAGGGCTTACAGAGAAGTCCCTTGTTGAATTCACAAACTGTTTCAGGGAATTAAATTGCGGAATATGGAAATGGGCTTTTAAATTTTTTTTTCATTTATTAGTGTATACCCAGAAGAAGAAAGTGCTGTAATAAATTATCAAACTCCTTTGAGTAAAGTGGCTGAATAGACAATAACAGTGAGGCATAGTCCCTGCCAAAGTTATTAAGCATACCTGCTCAAGTTTGTATTTTATGGGATAAGTGGATTAGTATGAACTGTTTTTCTAATAGGAATTTCCCCCACCCACCCCCAAACTCTTAAAATAGACTTTCACTGTATTTAGGTACTACTTTCCGATTAAGAAATAGATACTAAGATGCATAAGTCAGGATATTCTTTCAATGAGCATGGAGGCTGTTTTCTGTGTCGCAATATGATGCTCACACCCTGATGCTTACCCCTTTCATGATTTGATCCCTGTTTCACGTGTTATTTACCGTTAACATTGCTAAGAAGGTGTTGCCGTGCTGTTTGCTTGCTGGAGAGCATGCCAGGCACACAGACCACCCTTCATCCCAGGCCACGGCCATGGATAGCTCCTGCAGTGGTGAAAGAGGTACCTTATCCCCATAAAGCCACGCGTGGCCCTACTCACAGCTATGAATTAAAATTTAAGAAAGTAAAGGAGAACATATAGGTAAGAACGGTTGATGGGAAGAGTTACCATGCATTAAGAAATGGTTGTGATTTGTCAGCGAGTGGAAACAGACTGTGAAGACAGTGGAGAGCAGTTAAATGAAGCAGCTGACTCTCATTCTCCCCTGCTCATCATATGGTTTTTGATGTAACGTGTTCAGATTAGTTTCTGGTGTAGTTGAGGCAGATGATTAAGTGCCAGACAGACTCTATGCAAGTTAAATTCTGCCTTATCTCAATACAAGGTGAAGCCAGAGAAATAAGGCTGCTCTCAGGCAACTTAAAAAATTAACATTTAAAAAATGAGTAAGGAGTGTTGCACGCTGCTGGCTGCTGTATGTGAGGTTGTGTTACCAAGAAGCAGCAGTCATCTCCTCATGCACAGGCTCAGCCTGGTGCGGGACAGCTGTGGCACAGTGCTCAGCGTAGGCATTTGGGTCATAGCGGTGCTTTATATCCCCTTTGCTCTCTTGGTAAGAGTTACTTACTCAGATCATTACCTTTATGCTGTATTTTGCCTGTATCTTCTGGATTATAGAGAACTGCGATTTTCGTTCACGAGTAATTTAAGCAAATCTTGTGGTTAAAGCGAAAAGGGGGATGCTGCTCCAGGCAGCTGTAAAGGTGAAGCCGTTGGTGGGTCGCTGTGGTGGTCAGTGGAGGCAGTCCCCGGCACCGGGCACCGGGCTGGGCTGCATACGGCACCGCTGACGTAAACGTGAGGGAAATGGTGGCGGGGGAGGTAATCACACAGCTGCGTGGATGGGAGGTTTGTCTCTCTCTCTGTGCAGTTAGACTTACTTCTTCTGTGTCCTTTAAAGGCTTTATCTAGTCTTAGTGAAAAGTATCAAAAATCGGGACAATCTTTGGTTGAACAGATCATCTTCTAAGTTACACCTGTATTGCACCTTTGTGTGTGCTGCGCCACGACGTCACCCTCATGTTTATCTTCATTTTGTGCTGGTAGCACATTGGAGCACAAAACTCCAGAACAGCCCAGGAGAACTAGGTTTGGAGGGTGTCCTTGTAACACCCCAGCCTGGGAGCCTTGATCTGTTTCTCTGCGTAAGATCACAGTAAGAATCGTGGAAAGAGGGAATAGATCAGGCTTTGGATGTGTGATTGGTTCACTTCATTTAGAAAACTACTTGGAAAAGATTGCTTATTCTTGAATATTAAGTAGCCTCAACAAGTTGTAGCCCTTCAAGTTGCAGCTAAGACAAAACGGGCTGGGTTTGCGTCTTGAATGTTGCTCAGTTGAAATATAAAAAAGCACCACTGATTTAATCACTTTCATTTCATTGTGTTTTGTGGTATTAAGTGTCATCAAAGTGAAATTCTCTTTGTCCGAAGTGCATTATGTTTTTATGTTTACCCTTTTCTCTTTGCTTTCTTTAGGGGGGTTGGTTTAAGATTTCATCAGTAATTGTGGGCATCGGTGCTGCTTTATTAGTGCTCCCTGTGTGCTGTGCTTTGCAGATCATGGGTTTCACGTTTTCTACCTGTACCTCCCAGAGGCCTCTGCAGCGACACCGAGAACTTGCTTAGTCCCTTCCTGTACTGCAGAGGAAGGAGGTATTGGCCTGAAAACCAGTAAAGGGAAAACGATACCAGAACTACATGTAAACACATATCTCTGCTCATTGGCAGTCATATTTTGCCCTAAGGCAAGGTGACAGTGGCATGTCCTCACACCAGGAGTCAGCTAGATATGATCAATATAGGCAAGAGGAACAGATACATACATAACAGATGCAGGAAAAGCGCATGTTTACACGTCATGATGGTATATGGCGTACGGGATCTCTCCAGCTGCCAGCAGACGACCCGACACTTACCAGGGCCGGCTTCTTGTTGTTGTGCGGTAGGGACAGAGTAATGCTATTAAAGGTCTCCAGAGAGAGATGGGATCGCTCGTATAGTACAGTGTGCCCAATTAAAAGGTGAAAGTAAAGCAGAGGATCTCCACGCTTTGTTTAAAAAAAAAAGGATGTTCTTTGTGTACCTTGTTTTAAGTTGAAGCTGTGAAGCTTTCCCAGAAATCAAGCTGTCTGGGACTTGACCTTTCTGCATGGTTGTTTTCCGAACTTGCTTGTGATTTCTATGTAGTCGCCTCACTGTTTCCCTGCTGCGGCTGGAAGCGGCACTGCAGCGTCTCCACCTTTGCCTAGGAGCAGCCTGATGCCAGACTTCATGAGGGCGTTGGTCTGAAGCTGTAATTAGACATTAATACTCCTTCAGCAATAAAAACCATTACTCTGATCTCCCCTAGGGAACTGTCCAGTCCTTTTGCGTGCACACTCCTTTCTTCTAATCTCACTTTTAACAGTTTTCTGGCTAAAGCATTGTTTTGTTGAATCATACCTATGAAAGCATGTTTTCCTCTTCCCTGTTCTCTCACTCCTGTTGTTCACGCTTTTTTCCTTCTTGTTACTGTTATTAAAATGTCTCTACTTCACTCTTGTTTTCCTTTAAATATTGGAATAATTAACAACAGTCGGCACAGAAAGATTTCTGTCGATGTGAACTGTATTGGTAAGTGTTTGACATGGCTTGCTGAGTAGGGAAGGGGGGGCAATTGGGAGCGACTTTATTCAGCAGCAGCTTTCCAGCACTTCCTTGGCTTCCTGTTTGCAAGGAGAGCTTTCAGACAGCCTTTCCGGTGTTCGTCTAATCTTTAAATGCATGTTTTCCAAATGTGTTCCACAGGTGCCAACAAAAAAGCTGAAGAAATATGAGAGAGAGTACCAAACAATGCGAGAGAGTCAGCTGCAGCAGGAAGATCCTATGGACAGATACAAGGTACGGGAGATGCTTTATGGGAGCCTGTTTCTTTGGCTAGATCCCGTGGGGAGTGACGCGGTTCCAGCGGTTAAGCAGAGGTGCGTGTACTGCGCTCGCCTCTCTGGGATATGCCGATGTAGATCGTAGGGAAGTTAAGTGGCAGGTGAAACTCCTCATCCCCTTTCTTGAACAAGCACTTGGACTTAGTGTTTTTTCCAGGAATATTTCAATCACAATTTGTAACTCTCAAGACATCTGCAAGTAGCCACATATAATATTTTTCTTCTTTCAGTTTATATGTTTGTAGGTAACTCTCCTGCTGTTGCACTTTTACGGGAGATCTTCATGAGACGCAGAAACAAAGGGTGATTCTCAGCTACAGACACAAAAAGGAGAAAATACACATTGTGCTAGCACAAGCTGTGTGCAGTGGCATCCACAGAGACTTTTGGAAGATGAACTCTTCCTTGACTGATATGATCCTTGTTATTCATCTCTGTTTATACCAAGCGTTAGTAATTTTTTGTGAATATAATGCCTAGTACGGTGGGACGCAGAGCTCTCCTCAGGTCCCAAGGTACTACTGCAGTAGAATTAATAGTGATAAGTATCCTGCTTTAAAGCAGCAGAGAAATAAAGGTTCAGTTATTAATAGGATAGCTTGATAGTTCACCAAAAAAGAATAGTTCTTTAATTTTGGATCAGCATTGCTTATCTTACCAATGTATTTGCTTTTATTGTCACTGCTACCTTCTGTTGCCATAGATTTTTGTGTGATGGAGGCTCTGCCTCTAGGCATATACTTCACTTAGTGTTCAGGATCCATTTATTGCTTACCCTGTTGTGAAAAATTCAGTTTTCTTTAGGTGAAGCTGCCAGAGATGAAGCACTTTACTGCCCATTGCCCAGGTTAGCTGGGAACTGACATTGCTTACATATACCTGTACTGTTTTCCTGCTGTTCTTCATTGTGCCTTAATCTGTTAAGTGACATTGCAGTTGGTACGGAGTCTACCAGGAGTGTGGAGTAGTAAATAATCATACAGGGTGCAACAGGTTTACGTGGTCTGTGAATGTAAGGAAAGCGCACCATGTTCAGAAAACCACAGTATGAAAATCTGTAGTGAAAGACTATGCCATAATTCATAAATGTGACAAGATAGAGTTACAGGTATAGACAAAGTAAAACTGACTTTTTTTTTTTAAAAGTATTTACCTGTGAAAAATTATGTTTTGAGTGTAGTTCTTTTGATGTCAAAGGGTGTACGTAGATGTTATTGTTTGTGAGAACTGGGACTGCTGTAGCAGCTGAGAGCCAATAGTGACCTATGACCTATTTAGGAAAAAACACAACTTGCGGCTGACTGAGTATTTTTCCAGTGGCTCATTTATAGTACTGTGGAGTTAAAATAATACTTAGAAAATAAATAAGGTTCTTTAAAGCTCTGTGGAAGCATATTAACTAGTTAATCTTGGGCGATGGACAGTGAAGAACATTATCCCCAAGCTGCAAATGAGTATATAGAAAGTGACTCTTTGGCCACTGTTTATGTGAGTCACTGTCACAGTCAAGATCACAGCCCAGGGTTTTGGCTTGCATTTTTGCAACTCATTGTGTGATTTACAGGGTTTTGGCTTGCATTTTTGCAACTCACTGTGTGATTTTTATTTTTTTTTTTTATTAAGGCGGATTGGGCCTGATCCTCTTAGCGATGCTGTGATTAGAGAGAGTCCCTGTAACTAGTTAGTTGCACATTAAGTTCAAAGTTCAGACACATTCTTCAGCTGATGGGTGTCATGGAGAAATGTTTGTAAGTGCTCTCATTCCTTGTCTTGCTTGTTTGATTTTATTAATGTGTCAGGTTGAGGTTGGTAGGAATCAACATTTCAAGAGTGTTTCGAAAGGGCAGCAAGAAATGCAAACTGTGTGGATCCTCACAGGCAGAAGGTGGAGAGCCAGCTTTGCTTGTCCCTTAAATGATTGCTCTGCAGCCCGTGTATTTAGAAGTGCATTTCATTTTGGCAGCATCAGTGCCAGACTTTGCCCAGCCGGGCTTGGTTTGGGAAAGGACTGAGTCTACGCTGTTGAAAAGCCAGTATTGTCTCTGAGCGCGGCGTTGCTGTTAGCTCCCTCTGGCCTTGTGCACTCTCTGTGTGGGCTGTGGGCTGTGCCCTAAAGGCCTACATCATTGTAATTTTTAGTTTCTCTTCCCAGAACAAAAGGAGGTTTTGGTTTACTGCCCAGGAAGGGATGTTTCTTGGATGGGATCGCTGGAGTGGAGATCCCTGCAGAATATTCCTCTTACAGGTCAAGAAGGAAACAGGCTTTCAGTCTGTTGACAGTTTTTAGTTATAGTTGTTAGTTTTTGTTGTTTGCAGCATGTTACAGTTTTTATGGCCAACTGAGATTTGTCAGGAGCAGCCACCGCGATGGCAGTGGGGCCCCTGCTGCACTGCTGTCTCCTGGTCCATCCCTGCTGCGGTGGGGAAGGAACTCGCGGGAGCTGGCGCAGCTCTCGCGTGCGGGTCTGACCTTCACCCGGGCATCCCGGGGAGACCAGGACCGAACCAGAGCAGGGTGAGAGCGCGGCGTGCTTCTTCCTCTCCTCCCCAGCGCTCGGTCCTGGAGGTGTTCCCGAGCGCGGGAACGGTGGGGCTGAGCAGCCAGGAAAGAGATGCGTCCTGCCCGGGGGCGGCTGGGTATGTCCAGGCAAGGTGCTCCTCCGGTCCCACCGGCCCCAAACGCTCCACAGGCTCCAGAAAAGGGCTCTTTTTGCAACGTCTGGCCTGCCATTAACCAGTCGCGTTTTCTTGACAGGTTAAATTCATGTGCTACAATAAGCTGTGTTACATGCCACAGGAGTTCCTGCCCAGCTCGTATTTTACATGTTGATTGTGATTTGACTTACCAAAAGAACAGTATTAAAGAGTGCCGTTATTTTTGGTGTTTGTTTCCTTCTGTATTTACAAGTATTATTTAGGAAAAGTGTATTTTTTTATGGAAACCTTTTCACTTTATTTTCCATTGCTTATAACAAATTATCACTCACATTTTTGTCAGATAGATTTTAAAGAGGTGCAAAAGTAAATATGTTCTAAATTGCTGTTTGTCACCGAATTTCATGACTTTTGGTTAAAATAAATTACAAATTGCCTATAGAAGCCAGGAGGAAAAGTGAGTTGCATGTGCAGAAAAAATAGCAATATAGTTCAGATTGGTATTTTTCTATGTATTATGGGGTTTTTTTCTGTGTTTGAGAACATCTCATGTAATAGGGTTTTGGTTGACTTGATGAGAAATTGCCGGAGTTGGGCTTGGGACTTCTTGATTTAAAATAAAGAGGATATAAACGCACAAAGATGGGCTGGGGTTTTGCAAGCAGACCCTGCTTGTGCCCACAGTTCTGTTCTGAGGGTAGAAACGCCTTTTCCTCTGTGGTCCTTGTTGTGCAACGGAGAAGTTGTCCCTCTGAATAAACGTGTAATTTGCACATAATAGCCTTTTGCATGTTTGAAGTGGAAGCAAAAATTAATACACTGGTCATTTTTATTCAGAGTCATGGTAACTGAATGGTAACCGTCATGAGGAAAAACGTAAGATAACTCTTGATGTGGATCGTTGTTTGTTTGTGGTTTTTAAAAAAAGTGTGCTGAGGCATTTTTGGGAATGCTTCTTCAGAGTCAACAAACAGAAAACACAAACCACCTGCAGGAGCCTCTGCGTTGCTTCCCATGAGAGGTTTTCCTGGATAGTTTGCTGTAAAAGCCTTTTGGATTTCTAGATGGAGGTTCACAGGGTTTTCCTTCAGAGCTCCTCCGCAAGCAAGAGCCCTTTCCAGTGGGCTTACGAAGACTTCTGTTTGCTCACATCCAGAAAAGTGAATTTTAATCAGTGTTTTCATTCCACCATTGAGGATCTGTTCATGCCCAAAGATCTGGGGTTTGGGTGTTTGCTCATCAGAAAACGTGACGCTGAATTGCTTAACAAGGTTTGTGACTCGTTACACCCTGCTCGAGTAGCAGCACAGAGAGGATGCATCATCGGCACTAATCCTGTCAGGAATTGCTCCTTGGTGCTGGCTGGAAGGGAGCAGAGGGTGGATGGAGTTCAGCCTTTCAGTCTTCCTGAGCTGAGGCTTGCCTACTGCTTTCAAATTTGCCTTCTTTTTTCCGTCCAGTGTGTGATGGAAGCTGGAGTATATCCTCTTTAAAACTCAGAACCAAAAACCCACTGAAGAATCAGCAGCATTTTTTTTTCCCCGGCTGTCTTTGTTGGTATTAAAAATTATTTTATATCCTGTTTTCACTGTCTTTACACCAATGGTTGAAAGCAGTATTTGGTCTGTGACTTTACAGGAGGTAAGTTTATTTGTGTTTGTATGTATCGGCGATGTTTGTCCCTTTTGGAAATGCAGTATCCTCCTTTTAAAAGCTAACCAGAGTTCACCAGCTGCCTTTTGTAACAGGAAGGAGGAATTTGGGAAAGAGGAATCTCTTATTTTACTGATGGTAGAAACTGAGCAATGCTGAAGAGAAGGAAATCGTTGTCATAGTCAGTAAATTGTTAGTGGTGTGTATAGAAAAGGGAGGAAGCTGTCTGTTTACACCAAGGACAACTAGCAGGTCTGACGAGTTGGCTCATGCCAGGTTACAAAATGGTGTCTGTGATGCGAGTCCTGCTGTAACGAACCAGCTCCATCTGTTGAACTTTATGCCATTGCGAATGTTACTTTATAAAACCCTGTAAATCTTTCAGAGCCATTGAAAATAGTTTGCTATATATGAAAAGCGCTATTTGCTATTTTTGTCTTTACTGTGTAACGTCAGGTTTTATTTAGACTTAAGCAGATTAAGAGTTTCCTCCTGAGGAAGGAGGCAGTTTTTCACTGCTAGATCTGGGGGGAGGAGCTGGAAAAGACAAACCATCTAATCGCGCATACTGCCCTGTGCGGAGGAAGAGTAAAGGTGGCCCTGTAAGAGACTTTCAGCTGCAAATTAAAAGTATGGTGAACGAGATAAAAACATCTCTTAGCTATTGACTGGATGCCCAAGGTAAGAGATCTTTAACTTACTAAAAACGTGCCATGTAAATTCTAGTTTAAGAGGAGGATAGCGCATTTCCAACCACGTAGCTTGCTTACCCACTTGTCTGTGAATGCAAAGCAGGAACTTCAAACTTCACATTGTGCAGCTTGCTTTGCGGACACTGAAGCTTTTGGCAAAAGCAGAGCAAAAATGTTAAAGCAAACTTCTTTCTGGGTTATTTTGTGGAAGTCTTAAGAATTTGCTGATTTCTCCCTCTAAGCAACATCCCTATGAAAAGGTATTGGTGCTGCAGCATCTGGCAGCAACACCGTCCTGATCTGGTCCCAGTTTTTAGGTGAAGTCAAGTCACTTTCTGACAACTGCTCACTGGCAGAGCGAGTTTATAGCAGTCTATAAAAATCCACGTTTTCAAGATGGGTCTGAACAAAATACAGAAATACAGACACATTAGAGCCTTTAATAATA